AGCCCCCTGATCTAGATGACTTCCATCGAATCTAACTTCTAGGCCAGCCCCCTGATCTAGATGACTTCCATCGAATCCAACTTCTAGGCCAGCCCCCTGATCTAGATGACTTCCATCGAATCTAACTTCTAGGCCAAGCCCCCTGATCTAGATGACTTCCATCAAATCTAACTTCTAGGCCAAGCCCCCTGATCTAGATGACTTCCATCGAATCTTACTTCTAGGCCAGCCCCCTGATCTAGATGACTTCCACAGAATTTAACCTATAGGCCAAGCCGTCAACATTTTTTATCTTCTGCAGGCGACAACTCGGGTTTTCTTTTTCTTTTGCTCCTTTTGGGTTGACCCTTTTCTTACTATAGGTGGCGCTACAATTGTTTTATCCTCAGTCTTCACCTCCGTTACCGGCCTGTCAGTTATCTCCCTTTCATCACCCGATGACTCTTCACCACCAAGAGTCTGGCGACGTTCAGCTATTTCCTGTTCAGCCCTGAAATGATCACGGAGAAAAAAGTCAATGAAAAACAATATTAAAAAAAAAATAAATACGGTAATTATAATTACAAGTAAAACAAGAAATGGGGAAAGGGTTTATTAATTCAATAAAATAAATTTTTCACAAAAATAATTTTATACTTTCAAACGTTTTACTGAAATTTTTATTTTCATACAATTTTTTTAAAATAACATTAAAAAAAAAAATCATGGAGTTAAAATATTTATTTAAAAAGCATGAGCATAGTATTGGCTAATAGTAAAGCTATATCGTCATTAACTATACGAATCTATGTCGAATCCTGAACTACGTTGCTTCAGTTCATTATGAGCCGTCCTAAGCTTCGAGCCCGTGTTTTATTTCGACCGGTTGCCCCCGGAAGCTCCACCAATAAGCAATTTTGACCTGTCATTCAACTGCACTTTCAAACACGTCCCTGGCCAGCCACAGTTATTTCCCGACGGTCTCGTGCCCAGCGGCCACCTAATTAAATGCGGACAGCTAACACTTGGGAAATGTTAATGAAGACAAGAGCCTTAAGCACGCTAGGGATGCTTGACCCGCTAGGGATGCTTGACCAGCTAGGGATGCTTGACCAACGCCGACATCGAACCACTCCTCCGGTAGATTCCTGGCTCTAAACCCACCGTTGCGAACGTGGTTTCAACATCGGTGGTTCTCAGTGTGTACAAAAAGGATCAGTGGCCTCAGCATGCCTTATTTATTTTTTGTGACCTATACTATTATTAAATATTCGCAATCGCCAGTTAAATCTAATGTGTCCATGTTCATGTCAGCTTCAGTTTCACTCAATGTGTCCATGTCCATGTCAGCTTCAGTTTCACTCAATGCACAAAGAAAATAAAGAACAGTTAATTTCAAAATCAGATTTCAAACCAGACGCATCGCTCAAAATTAATTAAAACAACAATGAGGCGGGAAAATAGACGGAAATGGGTTGCCCCCGGTCTTACAGTAAATATATAACTTCTTTCTTTAATTTCTATTTATAAATTAAGACTTAAAAAACCCCAACAACAACAAATTAAAATTGGAGAGTTACATAAATTAAAAACAATAATGGATGGACACCTACTGTTGTAGGAACTTGACACATTCTTGATGGTCGTAGATTTCCGCCAAACGTTTTGGCGTGCAGCCATAGTTATCCCTCTTGTCGACCCTGACATTGGAAGCTTGGAGCGCCCTCAGAGCCGTGATTCTCCCAGACTCCGCGGCGAAATGGGCCGGCGTCCATCCGGTCACAGTTCTGGCGGTGCCGTTGGCGCCGTTGTCCAGCAGCAGCCGGACACATTCGACAAAACCTGGATGGAGAGATGTCAGTGGTCCTTTTAGTTATTCTGTTGACTTTCTTACCTCTTTCTCTATCCTTCCATTCCACACAATTTTTTCCCCCCATTTCGCTTGGACTCACCAACCCATTTAGCAGACACTCATTTTGTGACCGGTTTTCTTCAAGCAACACATACAGGTAACCTTCAACTAGGGACGCTAATGCCACTTTTTTCAAAGGGTTGGGGGGGGGGGGCAAAACCAAAACTTGGTCGGCTTGTTAAGTTGTTTATTACTGGAGGCGCCACAGGAGATATCAATTTAAATAAAACCTGCAAATTCAGGTGGGGGGGGGGGTCAATCACCCACCCTGACCCACTCAAAGGACGTCCCTGCCTCCACGTAACAACCATGTCTCACCATGACTTTCCGGCTAACTTCAGTAGGTCTATTCCATCAGTCACATTCGGCCTAATTTCTAAATTCCCTCCCTCCCTACCTTCTCAAATCAATTAATCTGATTCCACATTTAAAGCCCACCCACGTACACGCCTTTGACTGTGTTTCATCTTCATTTAACATACTTTTTTCCCTTCCAAAATAATCTACACACACACACCACACACATTCAGGTTTCTATGTGTAATATTCCACGGTTCAAAATCCACTTTTAAAAACACCCATGGCAGCAAACGGTTCACCTTTCTGACACGCCCAGTGGAGCGGAGTCTTGTCCCCCCAGTCTAAGTCCCCGAGGTTGACGTCAAACTTGCCACACTTGATGATCTCCTGCAGTGCGTCATAATCTCCTGAAGACGCGGCTTCGTGAATTTCAAGCTTCTCCATCGTCGTCATAGCTCAGCAGGCTTTTTCATTGGCTCGTTCCAAACAACCGGAAGTTACCGTGAGCAGACATTCGATGTTTCCCAGAAGCTCTGCGGTCTCGTAACGTTGATATCTTATTGAGATACACGCTTGTAAATTAAGCTTTAAAATATTACACTCGTATTAGTATATTATTATGCTTATTAATATCATGGCAGTTATAGCTCTAAAACAGCGGTTCTCAACCTGTGGGTCGCCACCCCTTTGGGGGTCGGACGAACCTTTCCCAGGGGTCACCTCGGACCATCTGAAACACATGTGCTCTACACTTAGTCTACAGTTATGACGTATCAACGAAAATAGACTTGTTGGCTGGGGGTCACCACAACATGAGGAACTGTGTTAAAAGGTCGCCGCATTAGGAAGGTTGAGAACCACTGCCCTTAAACGTAAAAAAAAAAAAAGGGTGTGGGGGGGGTAAGACAGGGCTACTACTATTTTAATATTAATCACCAAGTGTACTCTGTAACGTTACCCCCCCCCCCCACCCCGTTTACACAGTTTGGGAACTTCTGATTTATTATAAATATATCTAATCGAAAACCAATAATAAAAATTGGAATTAGAAAGGTTGAATAATAAATATATCTCTCTATATTAACCCGATCTGTTATTACCTATTTTTGTTAAAGGCGTCTCGCTGTCCGTGCTGCACCCTAAACGCCTTTTGGAATGTTTATTGTGTAGGTTACTGTAGAACAGGCCTGCACCACATACGGCTGATGGAATAGATAACATACCAACGTTAACTGTACAAACATGACTGTACAAACATGACTGTACAAACATGACTGTACAAACATGACTGTACAAACATGACTGTACACACATGAATGTACGAACATGACTGATTGAATAAACAACATAGGCCCTACTATGTTAACTGTACGAAATTGTTTGATTGGATACACAACATACTGATGTTAACTGTACAAACATGACTGACTGAATTAAAAACGTACTAAAGTTAACTGTACAAACATGACTAAATGGATAAACAACACACTGATGTTAACTGTACAAACATGTCTAATTGGATAAACCAGAAGCCATGCTAATCGTACGAACACGAATGGTCGGATACACAAGATACTCTGTCCACTGTACAAACATGACTGACTGATAATATACACAACAAATACTAATACAACGAACTTAGTTTATTTTGCCTACCTGATTTAGCTCCGTATATTTAGCCTGTGCTGAACTTCGGGAACAGGAAAATCCTTACCGTGTGTAGCACAGACGCGAGGCATGAATTTATCGATTACAACTAATCTATCAAACTGAGATCAGTTATCGATCCCCCCCCCCCCCACCTCTTCGGTTCTAATATATTACGCCTTAGTGGAAGACATAACTAAGGGGTGGCCAACCTTTACAGCAGGCAGGCCAAATTTCAGAAATAATATTTCCTGCCGGGNTTACAACTAATCTATCAAACTGAGATCAGTTATCGCTCCCCCCCCCCCCACCTCTTCGGTTCTAATATATTACGCCTTAGTGGAAGACATAACTAAGGGGTGGCCAACCTTTACAGCAGGCAGGCCAAATTTCAGAAATAATATTTCCTGCCGGGCCACGCACCTAGTTTATTTTGTTAATTAAAGTAAATAAGAAAGCGTGCTAAAGCTTTGACCACATCGTCGCATACCAGTTCAGTAGGTGAGGTCGTGTCAAAAGCTTCTCTGGTTTAATGTACAAAAAACAAAAACAAAAAAAACAAGAAATATGTTTTTTTAATTTTTTTGAAGAAAATAAAACACAACTGAGCATCAAACACATTTATTAGACTATTTACAAAAATAAAAAATTTAACAGTGAGACTTCTGACTTTGTTTTGCAGAACTAAGTGCATCAAAATTAATCTCGAGTGATGTTGTCGCTACACGCAAACAGCTTTCAAAATGAACATCGGTGATTCGTGTTCTCACGTGTGATTTGACGTGCTCCACACGCATAAGTGTGTCCAAATAGCGAAATCATCGACAGAGCATGTTTGTAAAACTCATGATATTTAATAACTTATCCATGTTTTATAGAACTTTTCCAAACCAACTTGTTGGAATTTCTCCAACACATTTCACAATGTTCCACATGTAATTTTCCTGGTAATACATTCACGTCAACCGCGAATGGCGTTGCAAATACATCGTGTTTTTTTGTTTTTTTTAAATCCTGAAATCGGTTTTTAAATTCGAGGTTCAAGTCAGATATCAAAGAAGCATATTTATCCGCCGCCTTCTGTGTGACGTCTGGTTGCCATCACAATGTAGGAAAGTGAGTCAAGTTTTTTTTCTCCTCAGCTGTTGTTCCCAAAGACCAAGTTCGTATGAAATGTAGAAATATGTTCATAATCTTATCAATTAATTGATATTTCCTTTGAATAGAGGATTATTAACGTCATTTAGGTGGCTAATTCTATCGACCAGAAATGCAAAGTCACAAACCCAATCTTTGTTTTCAAACTCTGGGATACTTATTGACTTGCTGGCAAAGAATTATTGAATTTCTTGCTGCAAATAAAACGCGCCTTTTTCAATATTTTGGCGCGGGTCAGCCATCTTACTTCTGCATAAAATGTAGCGTCATTACAATCTGAATCCAAATACTTTAGAAATTCTTGGCACTGACGGTGATTCAACCCGTTTGACTTAATGAAGATCACAATTGGGACGAACACTTTTATGGCATGGTCCATTTTGAGGGACTTCGAACATAAATTCTCCTGATGAATAATGCAATAAAAATTTAGCATTGAAGTAAGACCGACTTTGGAGGCCTCATTTTCAATCAAACTTATCAAACTAAGCGTCAGTACACACGATCAAATTAGCCACAAATTTCGCGTCAAATTTGTGTATGAATACACACGATCAAATTAGCCACAAATTTCGCGTCAAATTTGTGTATGAATACACACGATCAAATTAGCCACAAATTTCGCGTCAAATTTGTGTATGAATACACACGATCAAATTAGCCACAAATTTCGCGTCAAATTTGCGAATGGACGCACTATTCTGTGCGTGGTTTCTTTTTATTTTTATTTTTTTGTGACAAAAATGGGAATTTGATCAAATAGTAATTTGAAAGTTGTGACAAGGCTTCATACAAAAATTGCATCAAATGTATGATCGAAAATTTGATCGTGTGAACTGACGCTTATTTGCATGTTTAGTCTGGTAGCAGTGGCGACGGGTCCCAGGACCTGGTAAAAAAACTTGGGACCTGGCAAATGACCTGGTAAATTTTTATTTGTTACTAATATTGTATAAATGCTCATTAAGCGTAAACTACATTACATGTAAGAGAACTTCCATTTTAAAGGCCTTTTATATTAAAATTTTTATCAAAAACAAAAGTCAATAATGGGTTAAGTTAGTAGATTAAAAATATTACTTAATTTTATTTCAACATTTACCATTTCAAGGGAATAGACTGGAATAATAATTTTATTTCAACATTTACCATTTCAAGGGAATAGACTGGAATAATAATGGAATGTTAAAGGCAATAACGTTTAATAAATACATTTTATTTTTAATACATTTATTTGGGACAGCCAAATTTTTTAAGACCTGCAAGGGACCCGACATGTTAAATTTGATGGCGTCGCCACTGTCTGGTAGTACCCTTTTATGTTATACTCTTTCAAAACAGAAACAGATTCGTTGCGTATCAAGTATATGGGTTTTGTTTTAATTTCCATGAAAAAATAGATTATGGTCGGTCTAAGGTTGTTGAGGTTCTGCAGCACTGAAGCGTGGCGTGTTGCCTTACATCTCATATCCTAAGAGCTGTAACAACAGCAACTCACAAAAGTCCAGTCTGCATGTTGAGCACACAAGGAATAGGAAGACGATAAGAGGAAAGGGAGATAATTCATGTTAAACTTAGTAAAAATGAAATAAGAACACCATCCTACCAAAAAAAGTAGAAGAGAATAAAGCATTTATTAGGGTAAATTAGACTGTATATTCCTACATATAAGTACAGGAGAATAAAGCATTTATTAGGGTAAATTAGACTGTATATTCCTACATATAAGTACAGGAGAATAAAGCATTTATTAGGGTAAATTAGACTCTATATTCCTACATATAAGTAGAAGAGAATAAAGCATTTATTAGGGTAAATTAGACTGTATATTCCTACATATAAGTAGAGGAGAATAAAGCATTTATTAGGGTAAATTAGACTGTATATTCCTACATATAAGTAGAGGAGAATAAATCATTTATTAGGGTAAATTAGACTGTATATTCCTACATATAAGTAGAAGAGAATAAAGCATTTATTAGGGTAAATTAGACTGTATATTCCTACATATAAGTAGAAGAGAATAAAGCATTTATTAGGGTAAATTAGACTGTATATTCCTACATATAAGTAGAGGAGAATAAAGCATTTATTAGGGTAAATTAGACTGTATATTCCTATATATAAGTAGAAGAGAATAAAGCATTTATTAGGGTAAATTAGACTGTATATTCCTACATATAATTAGAAGAGAATAAAGCATTGATTAGGGTAAATTAGACTGTATATTCCTACATATAATTAGAAGAGAATAAAGCATTTATTAGGGTAAATTAGACTGCACATTCCTGTATAGAACAAGAGGAGAAAAAAGCATTTATCATGGTTGCATGGGTTAATCAGCAAATAATCGGGTTGTTGGCAATTTTGAGCCATAATCGATCTTGTCCCCTCTAAAAGCCGAATAATCAGCTAACTGTGGGGGGAAAAAGCTTTCCAGATTCATGAAGAAAATCTAGATATTTTAAAAATATAATCATACATTTTTATGTTGGAGTCTTTTCAAATTTGTACATAATCAGATAGGTGCAAGAGATGAATGTGCTTGTACACTTAAGTTGAGGCGGATAAATCAGTATCCAGCCCCCTTTTCCGATTTGTGCAACCGTAATTTATTCTTATATTTAATTGAACAACCCATGAACAACAAGGTTTTCCGTCTAAATCCTTTCTATGCACTCTTACTATATATTAATAGTCTCATCTCCTACCCGCTTTTACACCGCAGATTAATTTCACCAACTATATCAGGAAAAAACCAAAAACATTATGCGTCAAACACACTGGCAATATATAAAAAAAAAAAGAATCTCATTTAGCGCAGTTATCTGGAATTTTATGTTGTGAAATCAGCGTCATCATATTTCCTTCTTCTTCCCCTAGAAAAACAGGAAAATCCGATTTGACAGGAAGTGTTGTCATCTGCAACGAGTCTATGTGCCAAGTTTCAGCTCGACAGGTTGACTGAAAATGGGTTCAATAAGCAGTCCAAACAGAGAATTATTATCATTTTGTGACAGAGCTGTACAAAATAATATAATGTCAAAATGTAATTTCTTGGTATGATGAATCTTCCACTTTTCAAATGAGAACATGAAGAGGAAATAGTCTGTGTGGCTCATCAGGAATTGTGCAAGGCGTCGTGCAGTAGCATATTTTTGGACATCACGAAGCTTTGAATATGAAATTAGTTTGTGTTTTACATTTTTAATGCAATTATAATTTTTTAAAATAAATTACAGGAACAAAGTGGTGTCATAAAGTCTGCAAGATAACACCATCAAAATGTTTAAAACAGTGAAAGTAAAAAATTGTAAAAAACCACCAACTGGAGTCTCAGCTTAAAAACTGGCAACAGAAAGAAAGGAAACAAAGTCATCCTGTATGTTATGCATTTATTGGTTGTTTTTTTTTCTTGTAATTTCTATATAGTTTTACATTTTTTTAATATCCGGATTTAATGTTTATAACTATACCACACACACACAGCCATACTCATGCATATGGGAAAAAATACGACACAAATTTTCTGAAAGACATCAAAATGTACAATTAAAACCAGAGATTTTCAACATAGGCCTACAGACAACCAGTGACTTTAAATAGCAACAGAAATGGTATAGATGGATATGTACAGTTTGACTTTAGCACTGACACCAGGACTTGACGGATTATGGGGAGAACAACAAGGGGAAACAAAACTGTTGATCACATGGGGCCAAATCAAGAACACGAAATATTTAGTTATTCAGTGGGATTATCTCAATTCATTCTTTGATATTCTCTCTACTTTTTAATTAATTA